GAGAGAGAGAGAGAGAGAGAGAGAGAGAGGAAGATAGAGAGAGATAGAAAGAGAGAGGTGGGGGTAAAGAGAACGAGAGACAGACATAGCGGGCACATGTAGAGAAACCAAACAAAGGAATGTGTAAAACAGATAGATAAATATCTCTGTACAGAAACAGAACACGACGAACTAGAATTGGAGCAATGGAAAAACAGGAGTGGTATGTTTGAACTTCCTAATGCACAACTGCATGATACGTATACTCCATAGATTTATACTCTTAGATTTCGCACTATCAAAGCTCTCTGCTGTCAATTGTGACTTCGCTGCCGTTACGCCCAGAAGGACAATATACAAGTCTTGTCTTAATCACAATTTATCAGAGAACCTCCTCCACCTTTTCTATTTTTTTGCTTACCCTGTATATGGCTCAAAATAGCGCTCCCCATCCATGGTATGTCAAAATGCATGATCTAGGATACTATAATTTTACAATAGGTCTATGGCCTACATGGTCGGTAGGACGCGTCTTTCTACTGTCCACTCGTGGGTGAAATCGTAACCGGCACGCCACCAGTGCCCTGGCCTTGACTCTCCGCCAGACAGCGCTAGGGGCCATTTGGGTTTTAGTTTTAGCTTCCGGGTAAAAAATTGTCGTTTGTAGTACATATATGTTCCTTGTGTGTGGTCTGCCCTGTTTATTTTCAAATTTTAAAAACATTTTGCAATTGATTTTGTTGTCTTTATTCAGTCTTTTCCTGTAAACTATGACCGTATGGCAAGGGTTTTTTCTTCTTCCTTAAGTAGGTGGTTGGCAGCTGCTCTGTTGTGGTTGGCTCTTTCATTCCTATCAGACATATTTTGTCATCCTTATCTCTCCGCCTTCTTTTCTTTGCATCATACTCTCTGGTACTGGTACACCCCTGACAGTTGACACTTATATGATATGAAATAGTGTTGAAACTGGCGTAAAACTCGTACTAAAACAAAATAAAACAACTCTTCCCCTAAAACCTACCAAAGCCTCCCAAAAACAAAACAAAAAACAACAGCAACAACAACAACAAAAACAACAACAACAACAACAACAAACAATTTTTTCCTTAAGCCTTCTTGTTTTTATCAACCATCTCTCCTCCTTCTTTTCTTTGCATGTTGCTCTCTAGTACACCTCTAACCTTCGGCACTTGGATGATATAAAATTCTGTTGCATGTGCGTAAAACTCGTGCTAAAAGAAGAAAATAACCCCCCAAAAAGCCCTATGCCCCCCTCCCACAGCCCCCTACCTACCCCCCC